TTTTTTTTTTTTTTTTTTTTTTTTTTTTTTAAGATTTCTCCCTTGCATCATCTCAGACATACTGATTTGTCATTGCTTTTAAAAAAATCTGACCTTTAAAAGAACAGTGAACTTTGACATCATTTTAAGCAGTGGCTAAATGTCCCCTGCTGACATTAACCTTGTAATGATGACAGAGCTAAAGCAGAGTCTGGTGTGCAAAGGTGCAATAAGCACATTTATTCCGTGGTTTTATCTGCTTCTCCTGCCTAGCTGTTGTCTTTGATGCTACAGCAGCACCAGCATGAGTGAACCAGCATGACCTCTCCACCAACTCAATCTCCTGTGCAGCGTTAAACGCCCTGACCCCCGGGGCACAGACCTGTCTGTCAGACAGCACATCTCTCTGCCATTGGCAACAGCACCCCGAGCTCCGAGAAAACTGCTAAAGCTACTATGGAAAATTATATTGCATAATTATAGTCATTATCAGTCTCAAAGTTCAGTTGAGGATTTGTGATGAAAAAAAAGAGAACATCAATTGAAGTCCATAGCATTCAGTACATTACATTAAGGGACATAATAATATACATGTATTAAAGTTATAATCAGGGTCGGCGCCAAAGTGGGCATTCATGGGCCATGCCCCCTCCAAATGAGTTACTGTGCCTCCTCCACTCCCCTGAACATGAGCGAAATTCAAAAGTGAAAACCGAGCGCCATCGAAAGCAATTGCACACGCTTTCAGCATGATTTCGGCAGCTGCAGGCCTGCCCTAGAAAAAAAAACGTGCCAAATTTATGTGCTGTGACGCAATCTCTGGTTATAATTGGTACTTGATGTCATGATGCAAAAGACTTGTCTTACTTGAGGACTCTGAGGGGGTCAGGAGGGACTCCAGTTTGCACCAGCATGGGGTCCTGAACAAGATCTACAGGACAGACCACATACATACTTGATTATACACATTTTAGGGCTAAGTGATATAGTGAGGGAGAAAAAAATAATGTTAATAATTAATATTTATAGAAATGTATACATAAAATACACGAAAATATTTGTTTGCTTATTTTAATATACTAAAATAAACAAATATAATTGCTTATACACACATATATACACAATTTTTATTTAAATAAATTATATTTAATATAAATGTTTATTCTCATTTAAATATATAGATGCATTAAAAATAATTAATAAATAAATAATAATATATGATATAATTTAGAAACTATATGGCTTTTGAAAGTGAAAGATTATATATTAAATATATAGTTTATTTTTAATACATACAAAATATATAATATATAATATAAATGAAACATAAATTAATAATATATAAATAATAATAATAAAAATTACAGTTGTGGCCAAAATTGTTAGAACAGTTGACAGATCTGAAAATATTGACCTTTGTTTTTTAATCCAAAACATGATTTAATTTCATAATGTTCATGAAACATGCAGATGGTTGCTCTGAGCACAACCTAAAATAAAAGTTTTTGTTTACAGAATATGTGTGTGTACTGTGTATATTTATTATGTATATATAAATACACATATTCATGTATATATTTAAGAAAAATATGTTATTTTTATATATTGAATATATTTTAATATTATATAAATTATATGAATATAAATATATACACATGTAAATACATGTAAATATTTTCAAAATATATGCTGTGTGTGTGTATTTATATATACATAATAAATACACAATAAATCACACATATTATGTAAACAAAAACTTTTATTTTGGATGCGATTAATTGTTTGACAGAACTAATATACATATATACACATACACTACCGCTCAAAAGTTTGGGATAAGTAAGACTTGTAATGTTTTTAAAAGAAGTCTCTTATGCTCATCAAGGCTGCATTTATTTGATAAAAAATACAGGGAAAAAAACGTAATCTTGCTAAATGTTATTATAATATAAAACAATGGTTACTATTTTAATATACTTTAAAATATAATTTATTTCTGTGATGCAAAGCTGAATTTCCATCAGCCATTACTCCAGTCTAAAGTGTCACATAATCCTTCAGAAATCATTCTAATATAAGAAAGCATATAGCTTTCTTGTGTTAGGTGATCACAAATATTTTAAATTAAAACTTCCCACTGACAGAAACAGTCGGCTCTCGTTCCTTTTACTTTTAAATCTTTATTACAAACAGTCCCACGGGTCTTAAAGAACTTTGTTTTTCTACCCCCACAAGACACAAGTGCATATGCTGCCTTGTTTATCTAAGGGTGCGTTCACACTTGTCATGTTTGATTCGATTAAAACGAACCCTGATACGATTGCTCTGTAAGTGCGGTTCGTTTGCGTAAGTAAGTGTGAACGCTGCCATCCGAACTTTGGTGTGCACCAAACAAGTGGACCGAGACCGCTACGAGTGTGTTCACACTTGTAGTTCGGTTCGTTTGGTTCATTTGGTCTGGCCCAAAAAGGAAAATTATACATTTGGTCTTGGTCCGCTTAGCGTTCACATTGTCATTTTTGACAGCGAACCTAAAGACACCGAAACTAAAGGTATAGTGATACGTTCACAACCTGATTGTTCGGCTTGAATGACGTGTATATCGTGATGGAACTCACCGAAAACCCCAAACAAAAGATGCGTTAAACTTAAACACACCTAATGCCGTCTGCTGGACTAAGCGCGCTCATTCTTGCGTGTACATATAATTTTATCTTCACCACCTGCAAAGTCACAAGGAGCTCATAAAAGGCACTTTACCTCATCGTTGTTCCACGTTTGCCCTCTGCTCATTTTGTTTTGGTTACACCGTGTCGTCAAATCATGTCGCATAGCGTCGCATCTTGTCATTACTTCCCGTTTTTGGTTCGTTTAGAAGTATTTGGTCCGTTTTGCATTCATATATCATTCGAACCGCACCAGAGTTTGTTTGGAAGTTTGTTTGGTGCGTACCAGAGTTCGGATGGCAGCGTTCACACATGCTCAAATGAACCGCACTAACAGAGCAATCGCACCAGGGTTCGTTTTAATCGAACCAAACATGACAAGTGTGAACGCACCCTAAAAAGATGGGTCTCGGTCCGATGGAACTCTGGTGCGGTTCGAATGATATATGAACGCAACACGGACCAAATACTTCTAAACGAACCAAAAACAGGAAGTAATAAAGTGCAACACTATGCGACATGATTTGACGATGCGGTGTAACCAAAACAAAATGAGCAGAGGGCAAACGTGAAGCAACGATGAGGTAAAGTGCCTTTTACACCTGCGAGTTTGCAGGTGGTGAAAATAAAATTGTGTACACGCAAGAATGAGCGAGCCTAGTCCAGCAGACGGCATTAGGTGTGTTCGACCTAAAGCGTCACTGAGCAGACCAATCGGTTAATGGGTGCTTTGATATCATACACCCGCAGCGCCACTTTAAGTCTAACGCACCTTTTGTTTGGGGTTTTCGGTGAGTTCCGTCACGATACATGTGTCATTCAAGCAGACTAATCAGGTGTATATATATATATATATATATATATATATATATATATATATATATTT